CGTAAGTGATGTACGAGTGTGAAGTGTAATTCGTTTCATATTTTCATGTATATTTCTGTCGTATGTCTTCTACAGTAACGGGTGTTACGTTATTAGATGACTTGGTCTCTTGTGGCTGTGCTGACTTGTTGAGCGAAGATTCTCGGGAAATAGTAAAAACTTGTAACCGCGCTCAGAGAAGGTCTCTCGTTCGTATTTCTAAGAGGCTGATGGCTAGGACGAGGGCAGGCCAGAAAAGCGGTCAGAAGGGCAGTCGCGCCAATACTCCGGTCGAGCTTAGTGTCGCTATTATGCCGGTCCATGATGTGCAGGGAAGCCACGTGGCTCCCGATGGTGCGTCCATGCAGGAGGGTGATGGCAGTGCCCCTCTCCAGGGGCTGCCCATTGGAATTAGGAGCCCTTCAGGCTCAATTAGAGGCTGCCTTACATAGGATAGATACCTTAGAAGGACAGAACCGGCACCTGCGAGAAGAGATGCGGCAATTACGGACTCCGCATGAGCCTCGCTCTGGAGCATCCACTCCCGAACTTTCTCGGGGGAGCGTCCCACCTCCACAGTTAGCTAGTGGGCCTTCGGGAAGGCCTGACGCCCGCGAGTCATGCCTCCCCAGGCCACAGCCTCAGGCACGTCATGCATGCTGTCATTCTATAGGGCAATTACCCACGACCTCAGATTATAGTCACACACCTCATCCCACTTATTTGGGGCGTGAAGAGGTCCCAGTATTTAAAGGGGATACACCAGCATCAATGCCTCTGGTTCGCAACCAGGAAGTAGAGGCCTGGATTAGTACCATTGAGGCTCTACTCTAGCAAGGCCTACAGATGAAAATTTTATTCGTGTTACTAAAGCTAGGGCCAGGGGATATGCACAGTATTTGTTACGGTAAAGGTTGAAGACCGCGGCGCGCGTAGATAGAGGAAAATGGACACCGCCATCTTATAGAGCGGGGAAAATAGAAGGGGATAGCGTATAGTTGAAGATGCACCGGCCTTATAGTCATCGCTAAATGACGAAAATATAACGCGCGGCCGCGATGAGCTTGTTTACCTTGCGAGGAAAAACACGACACTGACCCACGAACGCATTCTTGCGTTCGCGAACTAGTCCGTGTATCATTACGCGCTTGTCAAAACGATATTTGGCTATATTTTTATATTTATCTATACCCTCATATCGAATCCTGCGCATCGAGTGTTTCACACTTTCTTGCGCCAGCCACAGGTTGACAGCTCACCAACCCGCTCATTTCGAGATTGAAAGCCGGTGAGAAATGTTGCGTTTCCAGTGTTGTGTTGATTCTGGGTTCTTTTTAAGACCTTTACAGTGGCATCGAAGAATAATTAGACTTCAGTAACCATCCCAGTTTTATATCTGAGCCCATCAAGAGCTCCAAAGGACGAAAAAGGTGATTAAAATCGAAGCAATACCAACAGTACAAAGAAACGAAAGTTTCACGTTTCCGGATATAAAGGTGTTTGGTTTATTATTTTAATGTGTGAATGCAGCTATGTCTTGCCGTACATACCGTGGTGGAGAGAATGTGACCTGGGGGTGTTGGGGGGCTTGCCCCCCATCAACCCTCCCCTCGGGCAGTGCCCGAAGGGCACGCCTAGTCACGTCAATTTATATTGATATATTAGGTTGGTTTATTGGTCAATACGTTTTTGGGGGTTGGAACGTGTGAATTCCCGTAGTTTTACAGAAATGTGGGTTAGGTTCCCGTAGAGTTTTTGATTTATTTCGCGTCAGTCCGTAAACTTTCAAAGATAGCGGTTACATACGTAGTTTCATTGGCCGATTTTAAGCGCTTTTTGTGCTAGTTTCACGCATTTTTGATCGTTATTATTCTTATTTAAGCTTGTTTTACCCCATAATTTCCCTGATATACTTCATGCCCTCCCCTGCTAACGGGACTATCAAATCAAGATCGTCGATGGAGAAATGGTACTCGATCTCCTGAACGATTCATTCGCAAAAGAAACAACGCCGAAAATCGATGAAATCATAGCATCATTTTTTTCGACTTAGTCTCTGTGAGGGTGCGTCGCGGTCTTCAACAATTAACGGACCTTCAAGGCTGGCTTGCCAGAAAGGTTGCAGCGCCAGCTTTCCTTGCACACGTTCTCCTCGGGTCGAGCCATGGCTGAGCGGGTACAGTGTGCCTGGAATGATTGGACAGGTCTACGTATGTCTCTTCCCCTCGCCACTCAGGTTTCCCGTCATTGTGGCGGCCAGGCATCTCAGCCTGTGGCCTCACCTCCCTCGTCTTCTACCTTTACCTACCCACCTACTACACGTCCCTTAACTGCTGAAAGTGTTCCTGGTCTCGATTTTTATTCAGACAACCCTTTTTCTGTTCAGGCTACTCAGGCAACTCAGACAGGTTCCCCAGGCCATTCCCACAACTTTGACAATGAGAGGGGTCAGCCGGGTTCTCCTAGGCAACGACAATTTCAGGCAGTGCGCCCTAAGAAGTGGTGCACCTATCATAGGGTTAGTAGCCATAATACATCAGAGTGTATGAGGGGTCAAGGGTTGTGTTATGTCTGTGGTGAACAGGGTCATTTCGCGGCGGCATGTCCCTTTCCGTCGCGCCGGCAGGCCACGACACCACTTCCTGCCGGCAGAGGAAACTTTTCATGTGAGCCCACAAGTCGTGTCTCCCAAAGGGAGACCAACAATCCAAGTTCGGGTCAATAGTAAAGTCCTGACAGCATTTGTTGATACAGGTAGCGAAGTCACCATTCTTAAAGCTTCAGTGGCCTCTAGTTTGTCTGACACAAAGATATTACGTAGCAGTAAGACTCTTCAGGGCGTTGCTGGGGCTGCGATGTCAGTACTGGGAGAAATGGATGTACTTTTTACTATAGGTGAATCAAAACTTTTGCATCGTGTTTGTGTTGCAGATAAAATTCATTTTCCAGGAGACTTGCTGATGGGAATGGATTTCCTACGCAGGTTAGACATGAAGTTATTTACCGGTAACAAATCTTCCAAGGCTTATTTGTTGCTAGGTGGAGTCAATTTCCCAATCAAGTACACTGGAGAGGACAGTTTGGGCTGTGTGTCTGTGCCTTCGGTGGTAGAAGTAGCTAAAGAAAGAAGGGCAACACAGACCCTCCGCATAGCTCCGGTTCACGTGGTTCAGACAGAGTTCATTGAGCCTAAGTCAGGGCAGTTTGTTAGTGCTGCTGTTGCTAGAGGTCTCCCAGAGTCTAGGGCAATTTTAGTGGAGGGAACAAACCCAAAGTTCATTGTTCCTCGCTCCATCTCTGCTGTACAGGGCAGAAGAACGTCAGTTTGGGTGGTAAATCCAGATGCAAAACAAGGAAATTGACACAGGGTACTTGTATAGGTTTTGCAGAGCAAGTAGGAGCAGAGCAGTTGGTGGATGTTAGTGCAGAGGGTAATGTGACAGGAAAAGAACCCAGGGTGAAGGAGGATACAGTGACTCATCCCTCCTCAACTGG